AGGGTGGGTCATTTTCAAAATGTGGTTCTCGCCTAAGCGTCGCGCACGTTCGTTTACAACGTGTGAAATACTTTTGCGGATTCCCATCATCCATGTATCAGAAATTCAGAAACTGTGTATTGAGAGGATTCAGGGTTACGCGGGCGCACCAGTTACGTTGATTCTATGTGTTGACGTCCTAGGATTGACATTCTAGCACGATTTAGGATCGTTGACACGCAAAAGCCAGGCTTAACCGTGGCGTTGTAATCCCGAGAGCAATGTTTTGGCATGCTTCAGGGTCTTTGAACGGTCATCTTCCAACGAGTTCGTTGTATGGGCCTATGAAGAGGGAGCTTGGAGGGTGGGTGTGTTCCATTATCGTTGAGGACACTTGGGTTTACACTGGTCCTCCCCCTCCTCCCCCTCCTCCTCCTCCTCCTCCTCCTCCTCCTCCTCCTCCTCCTCATCCTCCTCTTCCTCCTCCTCCTCCTCCTCCTCTCCTGTACCCTCGGCGAGTCGGCGGCGCGTGGTATGAGCTGGTTTCGCCGGCCCTGGCGCTGGTTTCGCCCCGCTGGTTTCGCCGACGGCTGGTCTCGCCGGCGCTGGTTTCGCCGGCGCTGGTTTCGCCCCGCTGGTTTCGTCCCGCTCGTTTCGCCAGCGGCTGGTTGCGCTGGCGCTCGTTTCGCGGGCGCTGGTTTCGCCGACGCCAGCCCTAACGGGCGGGTCGGGTCGGGCGGGCGGACCCTAGCGGGCGGGTCGGGTCATGTCGGGCGGGCGGACCCTAATGGGCGGGTCGGGTCGGACGGGTGGGACATTAAATTGCGGGGCGCTCTCGACCGAGCACGCGCGAACCCTAACGGGCGGGTCGGGTCGGGCGGGCGGACCCTAGCTGGCGGGTCGGGTCGGGTAGTTTCGCCGACGGCAGCTGGTTTCGCCGACGGCAGCTGGTTTCGCCGACGCAGCTGGTTTCGCCGGGCGGCGAAATCGCCGACGGAGCTGGTTTCGCCGACGGAGCTGGTTTCGCCGGGCGGCGAAACCAGCCGTCGGCGAAAACAGCGGTCGGCTGGCGGGCGCCAGGGTTGCGCGAGGAGGGCGGCCTTCTCAGAGAAAGGCAGGGAGGCTTCTCGGAAGGCAGGGGACTACTTGGAAGCTCTCCCGGCTTCTGAGGAGCCCTCGTAGCAGCCCAGGCCTTTCTGAGGAGGCCCTTTGTAGGGGAACGGAGAATGACGTAAACAAAACAACTCGGAGTTCCGCGCGGATTTCTTAGATTTGCGTTGGACCCCCTTGGCGGCGCCTCAAGCGCCGCCTCCAGCGCCGCCTCTGGCGCGCTCCGCGCGCCAGGGCGGGCGGGGGTCTCGCGCAGATCGGAGCAATCCGCGCGGAGCGCCAAACGTTTCTGCTAAGGGCGTTTTCTGCTCCTCTTCAGAGGAGGCCCTGTGGCCCTCTCCTCGACGAGGCCGCCCTCCTCGTCGGAAGGCCTCCCCCCTCGCTCCGCACCCCGGCGCGCGCCGCCGGGCGGGCGCGTCTGAGCCCAGGCCTCCCGGGCTGGGTCCGAGCAGACGGGCTCGGAGGACCGCGCCGCATCGCCGAGGCATCGGCGATGCGGCTCGATGTGGAGCCCGGCCTCCTCCGCGCCGACGGCGCCGATGCACCGCCGACGGCGCCGATGCATCGCCGATGCGGCGCGATCCTCCGAGCCCGCCTTTTTTTCGGAGCCCATGATTCAGGAGGGAAAAGACACAGACACAATGAATCGTCGATCCCCCAGAAAACATGGGAAACTATGGGAAGTGGGGGGGAAGACGAACATTCCAAAAATATGGGAAAATATGGGGAATCCTGTTATTTGTGTGTAGTTACTTGTGTGTCCCAGGGCCCCTTTAATGATGTGGGAGGCCACTACTTCCGAACCGCCTCTGGAAGCTCTGGACGACGGTTGCCTCCTGGGGGGCGGAGGCCACGGACCTCTCCGCGGAGCTCCAGAAGACCTCCCGGAGGCCTCCAGAGACCTCGCCGTCGGTGGCGCTCGGTCGGTTTGGTTCGCTCGGTCGCTGCGTCGCTGCCGCGCCGCCTCTTCCTTCGGGGCCGCCTGCGGCCCGTTGCTTTCGGTCGGCTTCGGAGTTGCCGTCGGCTCGGTCGGTTTCCGGGTGTGATGTCGCCGTGGACGGCCTCGCGCCCAGGCTCTCTCAGGTACTCCGGGAGGCCTGGGGCCCCTGGCGCATGCCGCGGGAGTTCTTCGGGCGGGGCCCACCCCGCGGAGTGCTGAGGGCGCGGCGCGGGTCGCAGCGTGCGTGAGCTGTTTCCGCCGCGCCCTCGCGCTCGCTGCCGTCCGCCTCCCCAGACGTCCAACGCCCTGAAGATCATCAAGGTTCTGGGCCTCCCGAATGGGGTCCGAGCAGATGGGGTCGGAGGGTCGCACCGCATCGCCGATGCATCGCCGATGCGACAATGCATCGGCGATGCATCGGCGATGCATCGGCGATGCGGGGCGATCCTCCGACCCCATCTGCTCGGACCCCGTCTTCGAGGCTAAAGGCGGAGGCTTCTGCCCGTTTTCGGTTCGTCAAGGGGGCCTCCTTCGGGCCCCCTTGGGCGTGTCAAGACCACGTCCGGGGAGGAGCCAGCCCTTGGGGCAAAGGGTCGGGGCTTCTGAGGCCCCTCACTGGAGCAATCCAGGCGTCGGACGCGCGGTCCCTTCGGGAGCGCCCTCGTCGCCACTGTCGGCCGCGGCTGGAAGCACCGGCTCGGGGCCCCAGAACTCCCGCGGACTGCTTCCGTACAGCGTGGGCGTCGTTCAGAGGAGCGAGAAGTGATGATCATGACACGCACCATGATGTCCCGATTTTCTTGCCGCTCTGCAACCGAGACGGATGGCCGAGAACGAATGGCAGAAGGTCGTTAGAGACTCGGGTATTCCCAGAGCACTTCCTGAGCCAATCTCGCTCACCGTGGCATCACAACCGCCCTAGCCTTCTTGCGCCAGTTCGGCCAGTCCGGAGGCCGCCCAGGCCGGGTTCCATCAGAAGCGAGCATTGTTCGGCTCTCAAAGCTCGTGAGCCCCATATGATCAAGCTGCGCTGCCATTGCGACGACGACGACGACGACGACGACGACGACGACGACGACGACGACGACTACACTGCGCTGCTGCTGCTTCGAGTGTTGGTGCCGCGGCGCCCGCCTGCAGCACCCCCCGACGGCGTGCACTCGCGGGTCCCGCTTGCGGCTCTGCCTGGCAGCCCGCGTGGCGCCCATCGGAGACTTCGCCCCGAACGGGCCTCCGCGGCCTCTTTTGAGTACCTCCCTGACCTCCTCGCGTCGCGAACAAACTCGGATTCACAAGGGTGAAGCCAATTTTAGACTCCCCGCGCCCCCCTCCTCGCTTCCCAGCTGCGCGCGCGCCGCATGCCTGTTGCCGTCTTGGGCTCAAGGGTTGGGCCGCTTGTCCCACCCGCCCACCCCGTTTTTCACTTGATTGTTGCGGCGCCGCTGCGCCTCCTGTCCTAGCTGTCAGCCGCTTCGGCCCCGCGCTGGGGGCCGGGAGCGGCCTCGGACCATCCGCGCTTGAGCCAATGGGAGAGAGGAGGGAGGGGAGCGGGAGCTAACATCCACGAGGGCAGGTCTCTTTTTGCCATTTCCGGCCTCGGGGGGTCCCCACCGGGCCCCGGAGCTAACATTCACGAGGGCAGGTCTTTTTGCCATTTCCGGCCTCGGGGGGGTCCCCACCGGGCCCCGGGCCCGTCAGCAGAGCTGAAGCTGCCTGCCAGGAGAGGGGCCCAGCCGTCTTGGGGCGGTCTTGGGCGCCTCTTGGGCCGTCCCGTAACGTCGGAGAGCCCAAAGGGCAACCTTGTTGAAAGTGTACGTTTTACGAAAGGCATGGGCAAAGTTTTGCGCCTAGCCTCCGCCTCCGCCTCCGCCTCCGCCTCCGCCTCCGCCTCCCTCTCCCTCTCCCTCTCCCTCCCCCTCCCTCTCCCTCTCCCTCTCCCTCTCCCTCCTCTCCTCCCCCCTCCCTCCCCTCCCTCTCCCTCTCCCTCCCCTCTCCCCCCCTCCCCCTCCCTCCCCCCCCTCTCCCTCCCCTCCCCCTTCTCCCTCTCCCTATCCCTCTCCCTCCCCCTCTCCCTCCCCCTCTCCCTCTCCCTCCCCCCCTCCCTCGCCCTCTTGGGACGCCTGTTGGAGGCCCTCTGCGGAGCCACGCGGTGTGCAGTGACCTATGGCGTCGGCGTGTGCGGGGGCACGCCGGCAGCCCGGACCGGGGTCTCCTCCCGGAGAGGCGGGCCCTGGGCCCCAGGGCCGCCCCTCCTCCCCCTCCTCCTCCTCCTCCTCCTCCTCCTCCTCCTCCTCCTCCTATCCCCTCCTCCCCCTCCTCCTCCTCCTCCTCCTCCTCCTCCTCCTCCTCCTCCTCCTCCTCCTCCTCCTCTCCTCCTCCTCCTCCCCTCCTCCTCCTCCTCCTCCTCCTCCCCTCCCCCCCCCTCCTCCTCCTCCTCCTCCTCCTCCTCCTCCTCCTCGGCGCCCGACCGCGGGGCGGGCGCCGAGGAGGTTTGCTGCTCGGGTCGGGCGAAGGGGGGGGATTGGGAAAGGGGGGGTTACGAAATCTGCTGCTCGGGTCGGGCGAAAGGGGGGGGATTGGGAAAGGGGGGGTTACGAAATATTTGCTGCTCGGGTCGGGCGAAAGGGGGGGATTGGGAAAGGGGGGGTTACGAAATCTGCTGCTCGGGTCGGGCGAAAGGGGGGGGATTGGGAAAGGGGGGGTTACGAAATCTGCTGCATGCAGCTGGTGTCGGCCTCACCGAGGGGCCCATTCCTCGATACAGTGTCGCCTCCGGCGCCGGAAGGCGCCGGGAAAATCAGCTAAGGGAGCTGATTCTCAAACCCCCCCTTTGCTATCCCCCCCTTTCGCCCGACCCGAGTCACCTCTGCATCCCGAGGCGCGGCGGTCCCTGGGCCCGTAGAGGGCCCCAGGGGCCCGAGGGCATTGGCACTGCTCGGGGCCCCTTGTGTCCGGGGACCCGTTCCCAGGCATGCGACCCCGCAGCTGTGTCGCAACGCAACGCAGCTCCCCCGAGGTCTGGGCTGCTTCCGCCCGTCCTCCCGAGGATTCGGTGGCTTGCCCCGGGTTCCGACGGGGGGCCCGAGAGCGACAGGGGGGGGCCCCACCGGCCGAACATCGGCAGCGATCCTCCGTCGCGATCGGCTGGTTCATGACGCGAGGGGGTCGGGGGTTCTCTCGAGCTGAATCCGGAGGCCTTTGGCCCATCCCGCCACCGTGCCTTGGTTGTGGGTCAGAGGCCTTTGGCCCATCTCGCCACCGTGCTTTGGTTGTGGGTCAGTGGCCTCTTCGATGCTTGTCGGGGTCTCTCGGGAGGCCTCTGGGGGTGTTCCTCGGTTTCGGTTCTGAAGTCTCTTTTTGGGCCTCGCGGGGTCCATTTGGTGTCCTCGTGGTCTTCTTCTGGCCCCTCTGGGGGCCTCTGAGGGCCTCTTGGGGACTTCTGGGGGGCTTGCTCACGATCTCGGGGCCAAGGGCGGCGAGGGGGTCGGGGCTTCTCCCGTGCTGGCATAGGAGGCTGCAGCCGAGGTCGCGCTGGGCGCACGCGGTGCCGCGCGGACGTGCCCGCTCTTGGGGAGAAGCGGGGCGTCGGGCTGCCAGGCCTGCCCTCCCTTCCGGAGGTACAGCGTCTTCAGCAACATGACCGACACGCTGAGCGACGACTCCTCGTTGAAAGAGAAGGTTGAGATCTTGCCAGCGTCGCCCCCCCCCGTCCCTCAACTTCACGTCAGAGTGGCCCTTCGCCAGAGTGACCTTTGCTGCGGGCCCTCTCGTCCCCCCGGATCGCTGAATGCGATGCGACAGTAGCGGCCTGCGCGCTTGGGTTTGGCCCCCTCGCGCCCCGCAAGTGCCGCGCACCAAATATGACGCTTGCCTAGGGTCATTCTTACATGCAGTCAATTGCCAACTCCCTAGGTGCGCGCTGGGAGGAAGTGGTGGATGGGGAGTTGTTTGTTGAGGACGAGCTTGAAGCCAGGGTCCATGATATGATGTGAGGCCGTGGTTGATCCAAATCCCCGCCTCGGATATCACACGACATCTGATGCGTCAAAGTCCGCTTCACGCCACGCGGGGTCGCAACACGCGTCGACGGCCCATGCTTGGGCCTTCACCCGGCGCGAGGTCTTCCTCGACGAGGCCGAGCGTTGTCCGAAACCTGCGAGGGGCGGGCGCCGCGACCTCCGAGCGCGCCCGCCCGAGGCGCGTGCGCAGCGCCTCCTGGCGCGCGCCGAAACGCCGGCTGCGGGCAGGCCGCGCTGCCAGGCGAGGGGGCGAGATACAAGGGGGAAGGGACTTGACTAGGGGAGGAGAGGAGGAAGGCAGAGGAGGAGGGAGGAGAAGGGCGTCGGCCTCTGTCCTACAGGTCGGGCCGTCGTCGATAAGCGATCGCGGCCCCGCTCGCCGTCGGCAGGCTTGCCGCCGCGCCCTTGAGAACCATCCGCCACTGCTGCGCGCCGCCCTCCCAGGCGCGCTTGGACGGCTTCCTGTCCGTAGGGTCCGGCGTTTTGGTCCTGGGGGCGCGCTGATGTAGTCGGCCGCGTCGCTGATGTAGTCGGCGCTGCGCTTGACGGCGGCGGCGCTCGCCGCGCGGTGCGCCGACCGCCTCTGCGTACCAGAATGGAACACCTCCCTGTCCCTATCAGTTTACCTCGGTGACGATCTCAGAGATTCCTTCCGTTTCCGAGGGCGCCTCCCTGAGATTGTCGTCGCCCTGGGCTTGCCGATCACAGGGATAGTGAGATGAGTGTGAGGTTGGTCGTCGGCCACGCCTCCTCGTTGCACTCCTCGCTTGCCCCCATCGGGCCGCGGCCCCTCCGCCGCCGCTCCTCGGCGGGCCGCGGCGCGCGGAGCGGCTCGCCCGGTGCCGGAACGAAGGCCGCGCCGTCCAGCGATCGACGCGCTTCGGCTCGCTCGGCCAGGGCGTGCGCACGCAATCCGCCCGCCGCGCCGGCGCCCGCGGGGCCTGCCAGGGCAGCGGGCGCCTGCGCCTTCGAGCCCATGCGCAGGCCTGGGCGCCAAAAATCCCAGGCGCGTGCGCGGGAGGAGGAGGAGGAGGGGGAGGAGGAGGAGGAGGAGGAGGAGGAGGAGGAGGAGGAGGAGGAGGAGGAGGAGGAGGAGAGGAGGAGGAGGAGGAGGAGGAGAGAGGAGGAGGAAGAGGAGGAGGAGGAGGAGGAGGAGGAGGAGGTGGAGGAGGAGGAGGAGGAGGAGGGCGGCGTGCTCTCCTCCTGGGCGGGCTTGCACCTCCCGCCCCCGCGGGGCCCGGCGCGAGGGGCCCGGCGCAGAGGCCCCGCCGCCGCGCCGTAGTCCTCCCAGCGCTGCGCGCGGCGCGCCCCCCCACTCCTGCCATCCTCCTCCTCCTCCTCCTCCTCCTCCTCCTCCTCCTCCTCGTCCCCCTCCTCCTCCTCCTCCTCCTCCTCCTCCTCCTCCTCCATTCACGCGGCCTCATGAGCACCTTCACGCTCCCGCGCGCGGTTCGCCCATAGCCCCGCGCGGCGCGTGGTTCCTCCAGTCCCGGCGCGGCAGCCCCGCGCCCGGAACCGTAGTCTTGAACCAAAGTGGTTTCGGAGGCCTTTTAGGGCACTCTTGAGGTTCTCGCTGGAGCCTCTTGGGCCTTGACGCCTAGAGCGGGCGTCTTCCGTGGGCGGCACCGTGACCTTATCGTTCTAACGATCGATCTCACCATGGGTATCCCTATCGCACGATCGATTTCACGATCGTGATCGAACACGCAATCGATCTCTCTACCGATCTCATTATCGATGTCACAACTTGTCTCACTAGCTACCATCGAGACACCGCGGCGGGACGCCTTGAGCCACCATCGGAACACCCCGCGCCACCGACGGGGCACCCCCGCGCCACCGACGCCGCACCCTGGGCACCCGCGCACCCACCGACGGGGTTCGGTCAAACAGCCCCAGGGCGCACGCGGCATCATTCCTGTCGCGCGCCCACGCAGCTTCGCCCCGCACGCACGCACGACACGGACACGAGACCGAAACCGAAGCCGATTTCCAGGTAGAGGGTTTTCTTCCCACTGCGATCTCTCCCCCCGGCCTCCGATCGAGGCGCCCCTCCGTGGTCCCAGACAGAAGCCGTGCCGAATCATCGCGGGGCGCCTGTGCATCCTCCAGATTTTGCCGCACCGCTTCCGTATCGTTGTGTGTTGGGCAGGGATGGCGGGCGGGCGCGCAGCTGAGGTTAGGGTGCCCCCCGCGCCGCCGTCGTCGAGAATCAGCGCCATTCGATCACGGGCACGGGAATCAGCGCCATCCGCCGAGAATCAGCGCCATTCCGTATCGTTGTGTGTGTGTGTGTTTGGGCAGGGATGGCGGGCGGGCGCACAGCTGAGGTCAGGGTGCCCCCCGCGCCGCCGTCGTCGAGCACCGGTGCCATTGGAGCACGGGCACGGGCGCCCGCGCACTGCTTCGTCTTTGCCGCAGCAGTGCGCTCGCCGTGTTATTTTTGACAAGCATGGCAGGGGGGCGTTGAGGGGGGCGGCGTTGCCCAGATTTGTCGGCAGGCGGGTGGGTGAGGGCAGGGCTGGACCTAAACGGTGTTTTCGGCGATTTCGTGGGCCGTTTTCGTGTCGACTTCGTTTTGGGGTAAAGGCGGATTCGAGACAAAAGCGAGGGAAAACGAAAACAAAACGAAAACGAAAAACACCGTTGAGGTTCAGCCCTGGGTGAGGGGGTGTACAATAAGAAGGAGCAGTGATCAACCACTCCCCGACAGGGAACACAGAGCTGCAGACGGGGGTCCACACAGTCTGGCGCACAACGTTGGGCGCTTGATTGCGAAGGCTACGATTAAGAAACAACAGCATCGCATTTGTTCACGACTACATCACGTTCGCGTCGTAGTGCGATCCCGCTTGGGTCGGTGGGATTTGCCCAACGCGCTCGGTGTCTGGGGAGGCCCCCCGAAGGTCCCCATCAGGGGCATCGATAGGGGGGGATCGACATCGGGGGGGATGCATCGAGCCTGATCGCTCATTGATCGCCGATAGGGGCCCGATGGCCCCAACCCGCACAGGAAGGTGCGGATTCATTATCGGGGGCCTATCGCCGATCTGTCGGTGATGTATCGCCGACTCCAGGCCGATGCATCCCCCCTATGCCAGTCCCCCCCTGTCGTTGCCCCTCATTCCAGGGGTCAGCCTTCGCCCTCCCCGCTGCCGCCGTGGATGAGACCGCCGCCCCCGGCAGGTCCCTGGCGGTCGTCTACGGCGGCCGGTGGAACACCGCCCTGAACACCGACATCTTCAACCGGGCGCCCTGGGGCAGGAGTCTGCTCTGATGGGCCTGTTTTCCACCACCACCACCATAAGTTAAACGGGGGAAGGAGGAGGAGGAGGACGAGGAGGAGGAGGAGGAGGAGGACGAAGAGGAGGAGGAGGACCAAGAGGAGGAGGAGGAGGAGGAGGAGGAGGAGGAGGAGGAGGATCCCCTCCCCCTCCAACTTTTGGTGGTGGTGGTGGTGGTGGTGGAACACTGGCCCATCATGCTCAGGGTTCGAGAGATGGGCGCCGATGCAAATGTGGGTCAGTCAGAGCGCCGCAGGATCTTGCAGTATCCTGCAGGGCCACGGCTGCACTGACTCGGGCTCGGGTGCAGGCTCCTGCGGGAGCCTGCAGGATCTTGCAGAGTCCTGCAGGGCTCGACTGACTCGGGTCTGGATCTACCCGGGTCAGTAGATCACCGATCTGCGACCATTTGCGAATCGCACCTTTGACTTCTTCGCGTGCTGTTTGGTATTTGTCGAACTGCACTGGGCCCCGCGGGCGTCAAAGGCGACTCGGGATTGGGAAACGGTCCCAGGGAAAGGGTCGGGCGTTCCTGAGTTTACGAATCGTGCAAATCAGCGCAGTGGATGCTTGGACCTTGCGAACACTGTCCCTGGATGGTGATGATGATGATGATGATGATGATGATGATGATGATGATGGTGATGATGATGATGACGATGATGAGGATGAGGATGAGGATGATGATGATGATGATGATGATGATGATGATGGTGATGATGATGCAGATGATGCTGGTGATGATGCTGATGCTGATGATCATGATGATCATGATCATGCTGATGGCGATGATGATGCTGCTGGTCGTGATAATTATGATGGTACTGATAATGCTGCTGCTGATGATGCGGAGTGATGGTTCTGCGGAATAGGAGGATGATCAGAATTTCGATGATGATGATGATGATGATGATGATGATGATGATGATGATGATGATGAATATGAATATGATGCTGATGCTGATCATGATGATGATTATGATGATGCTGATGCTGATGCTGATGATGATGATGATGATGATGATGATGATGAGCACGATGATGATGATGCTGGTTGTGATGATCATAATGATGCTGGTGATGATGGTGATGCTGATGATGCGAAGTGATGATTCTGAGGAAGAGGAGGATGATCAGGATTAACATGCTGATGATGATGATTGTGATGATGACGATGCTGATGATGATGATGATCATGATTCTGGTGATGGCGGTGGTTATGACGATGCTGATGCTGACGCGAATGCAAATACTGATTACGCATGAGAATTCATAGTGATGATTGTGATGGTGTCAATACTGATGATGATCATACTGCTGATGCTAATGACGAGGGTGATGGTGACGGTGACGGTGCTGATGGCGGTATTGATGGTGATGATGGTGATTATGATGATGATGTTGTTGATGATGATGATCATCCTGCGTATGATGTGGATGATGATCCTGATGATGCGCAGGCGGATACATATTATGATGATGAGCAAGATTATTATTATGATGCTAATGGTGATGATGGTGCTGATGGTGATGCTGGTAATGTTGATCATGTCGATGCTGCTGGTGATAGTGATGCGACTGATGATGCTGATGATGGTGATGATGACGATGATGATGCTGCCGATGATGGTGATGACGATCGTGGTAGCGATTATGGTGGCGGCGGTGGTCATGATGGTGGTGTGATGATGGTGACGATGATTATGGTGGTGGTGATGGTGCTCATGGTGCTGATGGTGATGCTGATGGTGATAATGATGATGCGTGTTGTGGTATTTGTGATGGTGGTGGTGTCAGCGGTGATGATGATGATGCTGCCGCTGATGACGAGGATGAGAATGCGGATGAGGAGGATGTTGTGGATGAGGATGAGGAGGATAGTCATGATATTATGAAGGGGATGCTGATGGTGATGCTGATGCTGATGATGATGATGATGATGATGATGAGGAGGAGGAGGAGGATGAGGATAATGACAATGATGAGACGGAGGAGGAGGAGAGGAGGAGGAGGAGGAGGAGGAGGAGGACGAGGAGGAGAAGGAGGTGTAGGAGGAGGAGGGGGAGGAGGTGGAGGAGAAGGAGGAGGCGGATGAAGCGGACGACGACGAGAGTATGAATCAGGAAAAGTCGCAGGAGCAGGATGACGAGGAGGAGGAGGAGGAGGAGGAGGAGCAGGAGGATAGAGGAGGAGGAGGAGGAAGAGGCGGATCATGATCTGCAGCATCATTGCCTAGGATAAGAAGCAGCATGAGGATGGATAAGCGTGAACCGCCATGAAATTAGAGTGGGTCCTGAGGGGCACGGGTCCTAGGCCCAACGGCTGTCCGCAGGACTTGCTCTTGATACTGAGTTGGCTGTTGACTGGATCAGGGCCCTGGGAGGACCCCAGGGGACCGACCACGGCAAAACGAATACAGTGCCCTTCTCCTCCAGGACGCCTTTCCCCCATGCTCACCTCGTGTTGTGGTCTCCTCCGTTCGCCCACCCCAATTTGGGTGTAACCCCTGGGAGGTTCAGTTCGGCACCGGCACTGACATACCCGCGGTCGAAATCCCGCTACACTCCCGCTCAATCTCGGTTTACGTCGGCCTAGTTGAGAGATGGGGGAGGTGGGAGAAGTGCGAACGGAGGGGGAGGGGCAGGACCCGCTGCATTCATTCGACATGCAGAGGAGGAGGAGGAGGGGGAGGAGGAGGGGGAGAAAGAGGAGGAGGAGTGCTCGTCGCGGGCTGGAAGAGTAGCGGGGAGGAGGAGGAGGAGGAGGAGGAGGAGGAGGAGGAGGAGGAGGAGGAGGAGGAGGCCGACGAGTACCCTGAGTAGGTTCGGTTCCATGGTCGCGGATCCTACTGAGCTGCTGCACTCGGAAAGGTCGAAGTTTGGGAAACTTTGGCATGCCAGCACCCAGGCCCCCAAGATTAGGCTTCGTACCCAGGATCCGCTTCCTGCCATCCCTGTCGAGACGATCAGGGAGATCTCTCGGGGATTCTCTCGTAGGTCTGCCGTCGGTCTGAACGACTTCCACATGAGGCACTACCAGTTCCTGGGCGATTCTGCCCTTCGGTGTTTTTCGGAGCTCTGGACCTTGGTGGAGCTGCCTGGCGGGGTGCTTCCTAATCAATTTCGGGCCCTCATCGTGGCCTTGATTCCGAAGACGGTTCCTGGATTTCGCCCCATCGGGGTCTTCTCCAGCCCCTACCGCATGTGGGGGAGGGCTCGCCGCCCTATTGCTGTGTTTTGGGAGGCCCAAGACGACCGTCCTTATTGGGCTGCTGGGAAGCACCGCTCCGCGACGGACGTGGTCTGGAGGCAGGCCATGCGAGCTGAGACCAGCACGGCAAGAGGCCGTCACGCAGGCGCTGTTTTTTTGGGATATGCTGAAGTACTACGAGCAGATTCCCTTAACGCTGCTCGAGCAGCGTAGCCTCAGGCTTAATGTTGATCCTGTTGTGTTGTCGGTGTGCTTGTCTGCGTGCCGATCGGCTAGATGCATGGTCTTGTGCGGGGTGGTCTCCCCTTCCCAGTACGCTTCTTTCGGTGTTGTCGCGGGATGCTCGATGGCGACTACTCTTGATCAAAGCTCACGGGATGGAGGCTTTTGATTCCGTTCCGATCGCCCCGAACACTGCGCTGGACATTAACATCGATGACACGGCTTTGAATTCGGTTGGTTCGGCCGAAACCGTGGTCGAGAGTTTAAAGGAGTCTTCGGCTGCCCTCGAGGTCGAGGTGGCGATCATTCGCATGATGAGGGCCCAAATTTCCATGGACAAGGTGGCTTGTGTCGCCTCTTCCAAGGTCATCTTTCGTCACGAAGAGGCGTTCGGGCCCCTGGTGGGCCCTCCCCTCGAAGCCACGGTGGACATGAGGATCGATTTTACGGCTGGGACCTCGAGGCGTGTTCGTGGCCGCAATGCGAAGGCGAAGGCCCGCTTGTCGCACGCTGCCAGGCGTACCAGGAGGCTGCTGAAGCTTAGGGGCGTTCTTGGACGTAGGACAGCTAAGGTGTTCGTTTCGGGCCCCCTGGCGGGCCTGCAGTACGGCTCGGAGGTTCACGGCATGACAGACGGAGAATTGGCGTCAGTTCGTAAAATGTTTGTTTCTACGTTGAAGCCGTCGGCTGGAGGTCGCAGCTTGACAATTTTGACACGTTTGGAATCGGACCCTGCCTGGTACGGCTCGGTGGCGCCTATTGTTAGATATGTGCGTGAGTTGTGGCTGCTGCAGACGCATGCGTCTCCGTGGGGGCTATCGCGGGCAGAGTTGCGGTCGTCTTGGGAATCTACCGGGAGCCCCCCCCCCCCCCAGACGTGGAGATCGGTCAAGGGACCTATGGGAGTTCTGTATCTTTCATTGGCCAGACTGGGTTGGACGATGCCCGACTCCTACACCTGTACGGACGATACTGGAAGAAATATTCCTTTCCTGGTCTCCTCCCCCGCCCTTTTAAAGAGGTGTTTAAAAGATTCGGTCCTTCGTGGCTTGACGATTGCTGCTGGCGAGAAATACGGCGACGGAGATCGTTTGTGCTTTGACGTGGTTTCCAGGGCCCTGGTTTCCAAGAAATTTTCCCCCAAGCAGAAGGGCGCCACTAGAGCGCTCTCCTGCCAGGCTTTGTGGCCGATGTCTCGTGTTGCGGAGAAGGGCTACATCGTGCCCGATGTGTGCCCCCTGTGCTCTCGGAGTGGAGACACGGTGCTTCACAGGTTGTGGTTTTGCGAGGCCTGTGAAGACAAACGGCAAGAAGTTGTGGATCCTGAGCTTCTGGACCGCATCCGTGGGGACCTTGGAGCGAAATCGACCCCTTCCTTTCGCTTCCTGTGCGAGTCGGGATTGTTCCCTCACCCTGCTAAGGACTTGCCTGGCCCCCTTAGTCACGAAACCGCCCTTGAGGCAATTAGATATGAATTCTTTCCTGAGGCTTTCGCCGAGGAAGGACTACCGCCGCCTCCCCAGGGGATGAGGGA